CAAAAGCTGGGACTGACAGTGCAACCGTGAGGGTCATATGGCTCTGACTTTAGCTCAGTAATAGGATCTTTTCTAGCTTGTTAGAGGTTACCTTTATGGCGCAAATGGGGCTTGCCACTTTGGGTATAGGACTGCCTCTGTTCCTATGTGTATAGCCGCGATGGAAATGTGCCATAGGAAAGGGGGGTTCCTACATCTGCCTGCCAAGGAAACCTAGCGGCCCTAACATGTTAGAGAAACCTATGAAATGGCTTCATAGTGTACCCTGCCCGCTCACCTTGGTAGTGACATGGGAGTAATTAACCCGGGCATATGGGGATCACGACTCGCGGTGAATGTGCACCACCTCTGCAGAGGGTAACAAACTGTTATAACAGCCGTGCTCACGGTCACGAGCGGCCCGGAAAACTCACAGAATAAATGGCTACTTATAATGATGTTCATACATGATGACTATGGTGATATAATGATGATGTTTCATGATTCAACCGGTTTTGATATATGATTATGTGGGTTGAAAAGGGAGCTTAAGCATAACTTGACAATTACTGATGATAAAATCTTGACATACTAAAAGTGCTAACAGCAGTAAACCAGTGTCATCCTTTTGAGCCTCATGAACCCCATGTTATCTTGTTGAGTACGGGACGTACTTACGCTTGTTTACTTTCTATATTTGGATAAAAATCCCGGATGGGTAACAGATGACAACGTGTATGAGGAGTTTCCAGAGGATTTTTAGGCTTGTGGTCAACCAGTCGACCGTCCCTGTGATGGAGTTCCACGAGAGAGTTATCTTTCTATCTTCCGCTGTGTTATGTAAGTCAATGTGATGCTATTATTCGTTATGTAAGGTACACCGTGATGATACTTTTTATAATTTGTCAACTTATGTGTGTGACTGATCCCTGGGCACACATGAGCTTAGTGCATTCAATTTTATCCTTAAAATTGGGTGTGACAATTGTCAATGGACTTATTACCTTCTTCGCTTGGTATGTGTTGGCGTGAACTGAGTTTGGTTGTGGCAGCACCCATGACAGGAGACGCAATAGATCATTGAAACTACAGTCTGACCAGCCGTACTTAGCCTTCAGGATGAGTAGCTCAAGCACAAAACATAGCAATGTCCAATGTGTCGGATAGCCCTTTTCAACACCATACACAGTTTTCTTCGATGCTTTTGTCACCCTTTCCAAATTTTCTAGACCTTTCGGGCTTTTTAGTAAAATCTCTGGTCCAAGGGCTCGAATCATGTCATCCAAATCATCTTCATCTCCGACACGTGCTCCACCGTTATTATTGGCACCACCTTCGTCGTTACCATCCCAACCACCAGCATCACCACCTTGTTCATTGCCAAACTCGGGATCCATTCGTGCATCAAGCTCTGCTGAATATTGGGACAAGGATTCTAGGGTTTCGTCGTCGTATTCCTCATCATCCTCATCGTTAACAATAACCGTTTCACCATGATGAATCCACACTGTGTAGTCCTCAATAAATCCTCGCATAATCAAATATGATCTGATGATAGTCACATCTGTCCATGTCATATGGTTCTTGCAATCTTTACAGGGACAAATAATTATATCTTTATTCTCTATCAACGTCGTTGCATGCTTCTTTGCGGCTTCAATAAATTTATCCACCTCTTCACGGAAATCTGCCTTGAACCTTAACGAACCATACATCCAAGAGTTCCTGTACTCCATCTTTTACAACAACAACAAAACAAACATTGTATATACTTCAAATATATATGAATATAAATCAAATATAATTACATGAAGCATACAAACACACCATGGTAGAGGAAAACTAATTAATGGTCAATTTATTCATAAATAATTAAAATACATATTTGTTGATTACAATAAATAAATTCAAAGACAACAATTAGCAACAATTATATTTTACCTAATATCTTTCATGCAAACCCTAGTCCAATTTCATCAAACATAAATTTACAAAAACAAAATTAATAAAAAAACCAAACCCTAGATCTAGATCTACATGCATATGAAACATCCAAAAAACTAACAATTGTTCACTAAAATCAAGAAACATTGACCAAATAAGGGTATGATCTTGTTCCCCTAACTAATTTAGGGGGTATTTGGTTGTCCCTTCTAAATTTTAGTCGTTGTCTCATCGAATGTTTGGACATATACATAGAGTATTAAATATAGACTAATTACGAAACTAATTACATAGTTTGCGACTAATTTGCGAGACGAATCTTTTGAGCCTAATTAGTCCATGATTTGATAATGTTTTGCCACAGTAAACATGTGATAATGACGGATTAATTAGGCTTAAAAAATTCATCTCGTAGAGTATTGACGGATTATGTAATTTATTTTTTTATTAGTATCCGAACACCTCATGCAACATCCTCCCGACACACCTCCTAAATTTTAGTAGCTCGATCCAAACGCCCCCTTACCTAAGTACATTCAAAATTTGGGTCTAATTTGCTTCATAACTAGCTCAAGCACCATAGAAGAGAAAGAAAATCAAAACTGTAATTACTCACTAACCAACCATTAAAATTTCAAAAAAAATGTGGAATAGCATTTTTTTACCTTCTACAACCTCTCCACCAAAGGATTTGAGACCAAATCCTTCCCCCTTAGTAGAGCAATTTTTGGGAGGTGCCCAAGTTTTCTCCACCTTTTTTTCACGGATTGGAGTGAGTGACCCGAGAAGAAAGAAGGTGCTGCAGTTTGTTATATATGTGGATCATTTGTAGGGACGGCTGGTGATTGAGCCGTCCCTACAAATCGGAGGTATTTATACGCGGACATTTGTAGGGGCCGCTCACTCACCAACCACCCCGGGGGCGGGGGCGGCTGGTGAGTGAGCCGCCCCTACAAATCCGACCAATTTGTATGGACGGCTCGTATCACCAGCCGCCCCTGTTGTTCTATTTGTAGGGACGGCTGGTCTCGTGGCTCCCGAGCACGTCATTGTAGGGATGGCTCCATCACCAGCCGCCCCTAAAAAAAAGTTTGTCCCGTTGCTACAAACCATTTTTCACGTAGTGGTAGAGACCAACCGTGAGCTCACATCACAACAGTGCACAAACACAAAGAGGAACAGCAGGGTGTTCACTGAATTCCATTTGGAGGCTCCAGCTACATATCTACATACGCCCACCCAACTCGCGAATGATGTGGACTTTCATTCTTGAGTCTTCTAATGACGCTCACCAGCTCAAAGAGACAGATATCCCCCAGCCGAAGACAATTGTCGGAGGCGAATGCTGCCCAACCATGCTATATGGTCACGTCATTGCAGGACCTACTGTGACCACCCTGAACACGCAGCACGGGTTGCTGATGGAAGACATTTTCTAGCATAATCCCGGGTAAATCTCTGTTCAAAGTGATAAAATGAAGTGTCAGATGACAACAGAACAATTCAGAATTTCAGATGCAAACCAAATCCAGGAAAATGATGCATTAACCTACCACATCCACAAACCAACCAAAACAATTTACTACCATTGGTCTATACAACCAAATAACTCATCTGCCGCAGGAGTGAAGAATAATCTCCACCATCTATTATGCGTATTGATTTTGAAACACAGAGTTCCTCATTGCTAGTACAATGCCAATATCGAGAGAGCAGTTCTGTCAGCAACAAGAACTTTCATGCAAGTTTTTCCTTATAAGCAAATTTTTTTTGAAACAAACCTTATAAGTAAAATGGACGATCCAAATGCAAATCAAGATATATAGTGAATGGATGTCCAGAAATCAAATTTGCATATCAGTGGACAGAAGTCAACAATCAAATCGCTACTGGAAAGTGTACATGAGCGACTAGTTGCACTATTAATAGTCGATTTTGTGATGTTGCAACAGTCGATTTGAGATGTTTCAGTGTGTTGCATCGGTTAATTTTGTTATGTCACATGGTTTGATCTTGAGATGTGGTGGTTTGAACGCGAAGCAAAAGGCAATGTTGCAGTACTTGAATCAGCTACGTGCGTACATGTGATGTTCTAGCCTTAATGTTGCATAAGTTTATTTTCAATGTCGCATACACTATTTCTTTAGTGTTGCAAATCTTGTTCTTGAATGTTGCAAGCAATGATTAACATATGTTCCATTTATCTCTCCTTCACATAGGTGCGGTGTCTGCATCGGCGGGGCTATAGGAAGCGCAACCATAATTACAGGGGCTTTACTATTGCATCACAGGAGAAAGGAGGGAGCTAGAAGGGGAGGAGCACTGGGGTGGGACACGTAGAGCGGAAGCGTCTGGATCCGAAAGGGGAGGAGCACACGGGTAGAGCGGAAGCTTCCAGGTCGATTGTTTATATCCGGACGTCCGGGCACTAGTATTACCCATTGAACAAAGCACCGGTGCGCCAAGCATTGCCCAATGGCATCCGCTATCTGTCGCCATTTCGACCCCTGGTCTTCTATATATATGTATCACCTCTTTTTAATAAAAAATGTAGCAAAGTAGGGGTGTGGAAAAAATATTTCCTAAACAGGTTGTGCGTGCACATAGCCTACTTTATTTACAACCCGTCTTGCATTATGCGTGTCTTTTTTCACAATGCATTATGTGAAATACAGTCTCGTACAGTACAATTAATCGGTGAAATAAATAATTAGATATGAATAATACATTAACTAAGCTGTAGCCCGTCGCGCCCGACCACGTGCGAAGTTGAGCAAATATGCCACAGTAAATGAATCATGTGTAAGTTGTGGCTGGCTTATTGGTTATTTCACTGAATGGTAGGTACTGCCCATGTAGCGTGACTGACACAGCAAGTTTTTTTTGAGGGAAACAGGAGGGGGTGCCCCCCCTACTGTGCTTTTATTGATTTTTGTAAAAATACAAAGTTTGCTTACAGAGTGTCTCACGAAACAAAGAAAGAAATGTAAAAAATCTGAATGATTACACATAAACTTCTAGCCATTGAGTAAACAGTGGTGCTAAACTATGCTTTGCTCGAAGACTGACACAGCAAGTTATGGAGTAGTAGTAAATACAAGCTTCCCTGGAAAATGTGTGCCTACAAAAGCAACACAAAAATTACAAGTTAGAGAGCTCTCTCGAGTCACACATATTCAACCTTGTTGGTTCTCGCTAGGGTCACCCTTGTCACCTAGCTATACTCTACCTCGCAAATCCCTCTTTGGTGTTCCATTTCTCCATGGGGTACACTAGCTAGGGTATGCGAGGCATCAGGAGACCATGTTGTCGGCTGATGAGCAAAAAAAGTTTTATCAGCCATCTCAGGCTCAGTGTCGCCACCGCAAGTATCCGTGTTGCCACCGGGGGATATCACACAACTGAGATGAGAGAGATATTCTCTTCAGAGACGAGTGTGCTCAAGCATCTGAGAAGGGTTGTAGATTCTTAGACTATACTAGAAATAGCTGACCTCGCCTTTCTAGGGATTGTTTGAGTCACTTAGACTTCTTATTCTTCTTTTTCATGTAATGACACGCTGCTCCCTGTGTGTTCAAGAAAAAAAAGGAAATAGCTGGCCTCCAACAGAATTATGAAGAGGATAAAGACTTGTAGTAGTTGAACCCCCAGTACAATTGCAAATAAGAACATAGTATCATAAAGCAGTTGATCCTTCAAATGTGGAAGTCGTACTTTCATATGGCCTTAATTTGCCTTTTTTGAGACAAGAGCAAGAACTTTTTCTATCATACCGGGGTTGAGCATAGCTATGATATGGTTGATGCGGTTGATAATATACTAGTCATCCTGATAATAATATATATAACATGGTAATAGAGTCCAACATTTCTAGATCTCTAGGTAGACAGAAATTTGTTCTGTTCTGACCACATTCAAATTAGCCTACTTGATCATCAGTAACTAACACCTGAGATACTAAATAACAATGAAACCATCAACTCTTCCAGTTAAGGGTATCATCACAGACGGTGTTCAGATGGGTCTTCATACTCACAATGCAAGTAGAGACCAACCATGAGCTCACATCACAAGAGTGCACAAAGAGGAACAGCAGGGTGTTCACTGAATTCCCTTTGATATAAACCAACTACATATCTATATAACACACACCTGGCTTGCGAATGATGTGGACTTTCATCTTGAGCCTTGTCATGACGCTCACCAGCTCAAAGAGACAGATATCCCCCACCCAAAGGCGATTGTCGGAGGCGAATGCTGCCCAACCATGGTATATGATCACGTCATTGCTGGACTTACTGTGACCACCCTGAACATGCAGCACGGTTTGCCACTCCTTGCTCTGGCAGCCCTCCAGCTGAAGCGTAAGACCTTGGGTTGCTGATGGAAGACATCTTCTAGCATATTCCCGGGTAAATCTCTGTTCAAAGTGATAAAATGAAGTGCAGATGCCAACAGAACAATTAAGAATTTCAGATGCAAACCAAATCCAGGAAAATGATGCATTAACCTACCACAAACAAACGAAAACAATTTACTACCATTGGTCTATACGACCAAATAACTCATCTACCACAGGAGTGCCGAATCTCCACCATCTATTTATGCGTATTGCTTTTGAAATGCAGAGTTCCTCATTGCTAGTAGAATGCCAATATCAAGAGAGCGGTTCTGTCAGCAACAAGAACTTTCATGCAAGTTTTTTCTTATAAGCAAAATGGACGATCCAAATGCAAATCAAGAGATACAGAATGGATGTCCAGAAGTCAAATTTGCAAATCAGAGGACAGAGATCAACAATCAAATCCTTACTGGAATTGTACATAAGCGACTAGTTGCACTACTAACTTACCATTAAGTAACCTTTCTGACCAGTACTGATTCTGGTCAATACTGCCACATAGATAGGAAATCTAGATCTGATTGCTTGGACTTTCTGTAGAACCATCTCCTGTGCTCTTGGACAAGTTAACTTTTTTGATATCATGTAGAGAGGTTGGGAAGGCCCCTCAGAGTTGTTGAAACTGACAGGGCTCTGATCAACCTTGCGATCCATAGCTGACCAAAGATCCTCAGGAGTTTCATGCACTGTGATATGGCCGATATACTCATATCAAGAACAGAGCAAACAAAAATATGTAAAAGAGTCACAAACTACAATAATTTGACCTGATTTAATAGATGGGCAGGAAGTTGAAGCCATAGTCCTAGTTTTAGCAAAATTGCCCAATTGCAGCTTCTGGTGCCTAGCTGGTTTCGCAATGTAAGCAGATACAATGTTCTCATCATCAGAACTGCTGCTCAGATCAATAATATCAATTGTTTTATGAGGTGGATCAATAATTTCAACTGAACCATCACACATTTCTCGGGTATTAGAAACATCTCCGATGCCAAACCATGAAGAGGCCTTGTGAAAGATATTTCGGCCAATGATGAAAACTTCAAAGTGACAGTTCCCTTTGTATCTGAAAATGATGAGATCGCGCTCTTGGATGTGGTGAGCAACCACAAAAGCATCCCATCCAGACTGGAGAACTATTTCATCATCGCTCTGCTGGGTAGCTGAAACATTGTATATATTGGAATCAGGGCCTTCTAGTTTAACAGTAGCTTTAGAAAACTCCTCTCTAACATCTTTCATGAGTATAGATGGAATTCTCTGTAGGAAATAAAGAAAAACAAGATGATGTCTTAACCAGAAGCAAAATCAGAATGTAGTAACTGGAGAAAGCATAATTACAATGATCTGGAAATCTATGCAACTTACAATAAAGCAACCTTTCAAGTCAACATTGCTGTTGTTCACAACTGCCACATACATAGGAATTTCAGATCTTATTGTGCGAGCGATTTCCAATACTTTCTTGTCTTGTGCCTTAGTTAAACGTGAGCCTCCTGATGTGAAATAGACAAATTCAGCTGGTATCTCAACATGTCCAGGATAAGTTATCTCATTTCCTAAACATAGAGAACATCAGTACAATCATCACAAAATTACAGTATGTAATAATCTAAATCATTTTACCATTCAGAATATGAGGAGCACAAGTAGCACTGGGAGGAATGGCTTCAAGGATCTCAGGATGTGGATTAACAAAGGAAGTAATCCTCTGGGAACCACCATGTGAACTGTGTATCTGGACCTTAAAGCTTGAGTTCCCACAGAATTTGAACACTAGATAGTCATTCTGTACCAAGTTATGAGCAGTGGCAAACACATCCCAGCCAGAACGTAGAACTATCGCACCCATCTCCCTGCAAACCCCAATATCATATATGCAACCATTGGGAGCATTTAGCTTGATGGTATCAGATATGTTTGTCCTAAAATGACTTCCAACCACCTGAGGCACGCGCTGTTGTAAGACAAGAGTACAGTTAGGTTAGGTAAGAAGGTCCAAAAAATTACACCTTATCTTGTTTATCATGATATTTCGAAACACCATTTCAGATTTCATGGTTAATTAAAGAACATGCAAATTGTCAATAAAACGTTTATACATGCAAGATATTCATTTGTGAGAGGATGAACAATAAGGTTTATGCTTGGTCGGTACTAGTTATCAAATTGCTTCTTCTTTTTTTCTGCAGCTGGCAGTAATATAATAACTTCATGAACTTTCACAAGTCCTTTTGCTTTCAGTGAAGAGTTGCTCAACATAACTAATAATAAAGCAATACTATGTAAAAAACAGAGGGTCGGCAATGCACTAAGAACAGATTGGCGTGGCTGGGATTCTTTGACATTCAAACATCCTCTTCTACTGTCAATGATATTGGAATGCTTGATATTAAACAAATGTAAGTGTAAATTGCATAAAGGATCAAACAAAACCTTTGTATTAAGAAGAGAGTAGTTAGCTTTTCTGGGAATCTTTGACATCAAGCACCCTACTTCCTATGATATTTAAAAGCACATCCACAACCCACATGTAGATGCATGTCAATAATATGGCGAGAAAAAAGAGTGCTAGAAGCAACACTGGTTCGAAAGAATTCGCCGAATGAGGTGGTAATGTCGAGTAGACCTAGCTTACCATGTGACTCCTGGAATATTCATCAGCTACAACATAGAATCTCATCTTCTCATCGCTCATGTGGTTGTTGTCTTGGTGATCCTGCCACTTCATACTGTTTTCACAAGTGCTGCTCATCTATTAAAAAAATGAACAAGCTAGACAATTGGTGAGCAATCACAGCTTTGCTGATTCAAAGGGTAACAATTAGTGAAACAACACCTTCATAAAACAGAGAATGTATTGTTTAATCATGCAAGACAAAACTGGCAGAAGTTTTCTCCACGAAGCCATGAAAATGAACTTCTAGATTAATCAAGCCATGAAGATTAATTCCAGAATGATTATCAATTTGGTGGTGTAGGATTAACATTTCAAATTCTGGATCAGTTCCTGCTAGGAGGCTTATTTATATCTGTTTGCAGTCCGTGATCAGCAGTAATCAGTAAAAATTTGGTCAATCAAATGTGTCACTTTGAGCATTGATATCTGAACAAGGAAAGCGAAACTGTATAGAAACTGGCACTGCCCTGGTACGGTGACAACTGACAACCAACCAAGTACGACAGTGTGGCATCTAGCATATATCAAGCAAATAAACAATGTGTAGAAAAAGATTAATAGCACCTACATAGTGACAGGTAATGTAGACACGGTCCAGAATGCAGCGTTTGCATAAGGATCTAGCTAGCTAATAACTACTGCCTCTCCCTCTTTCTGGTTTCTAGTAATTGCTAAGGTTCCTGAATGCTTGCAACTGGTCCTGAGTTCATGTGGTTCAAGGCCTCTTCAGGATTGTTTCAAAAAAAAAAAAGGCTTCTTCAGGCTATTCTACTACAGTTTCCTATTTTTTCCGAACGGAATGTACAACAGTTTCCTAGTGTCCTAAACATTAGAAAAGCAATTCCAGAAAGATAATCACACAGTATCATGAAATCTTCCCACAGTACTGTACTACAGTGAAACGCGGGAACAGAGGCAACTGAGATACAGAAGACAGTGGCCCCATGGCTGGTCTACCTCTACACACTAAAAATGCATCAAAGCAGGCTTTCCTACAATCCTACTTGTGTCTTTCAGTAATATAAGTTGAGTGAAAACAATTAGCACTGTTTGATCCACTGAGTAATACTTGCCCACAGATTGTGCCTACAATTCCACTTACATATCTCTACAAAAAAAAAAAAAAAAAAAAAAAAAAACTCTCAAAGAAATGCCATCTTTTGTTATGAAATTCCAGCAAACATTTGGTGCGGAACATATTCAATGAAAGGAAAGTAGAGTCGAGAGATTCTGAAGAATAAAAAAAAACTAGCTGTAACCAAGATCAATTTCCCCCCGGTCTTCACAGGAGAAACAGAGAGAGAAAGAAAAGAATGCGATTCTTGCTAAGAAGACTGCAATTCGCACAGCAAACGTGAAAAGCGACAATTTTGGAAGACATTTGCATTTTGAGGAAAATGTTGGGAACCCGCTGCGGAACTGGGCATCTGATCCCAGCGAGCTAGAACTCAATCGAACACAGTAAGCACACACTGGCGCCACCCTGTCCACAGGCGGCGGGGGATCCCCGTTTTCCATCGCCGCCGTGGAAGCGAACGGTTGCCCTAGCAAAGATTACTTTACCCTCCCTCGCCCAGGAAAGGGATCAAGAAGAGAAGCAAAGCCTAACCTTCCCAGGTGAAGCTGCCTCCACTCCTCGTCCGCCTCCGGCGTCCAGCCTCCTGCCGTCCTACCCTGGTCCGGCTCCTACGGCCCTACCCGTGTCGATCCAAGGCTTCCAACCAGCTAGGCAGCTACCCAGCGCTGCTATTCACAAGTTTCGCACTGCCATGCAACTCTAATTCATGAGCACAGCGCACATAGTGCGTTTTGGCCTTTTGCGTTGCGTGCGATTCGGGGATAAAACAGGGTTTTGGGTGTCACTTTCTCTTTTTTTTTCTTTTTATATGAAAATAGATTACTTTACTTAGGCTCTTTTTTTTTCGTGACCAGCCAACGCGCCACTGCGATCAGTGAACGCGGCTCCGAGGCCGTGTTTTGGGAATTGCCCAGCCGCGTTCGTTTTTCGATTAGTGAACGCGGCTCCGAGGCCGTGTTTTGGGAATTGCCCAGCTGCGTTCGTTTTCCCGCTACCAGACGCGCGTTCATCGCCGACCGTTCGGTGGAACCAAACAGAGCTTGAGTCAGATAAAACGCTGCCAATGAGATATACAGAGGTGACACATGAACCGGTACATATGTGAAGGATCCAAAGCACAATTATCTCAATTGAACTTGCAAGGAAATCACTATAAAAATAAGAATTACAACAAAGCCCTACCTATGCTTTCCATCCGTCGAGGACGTGCACCATGCCTCTTTCAAGGAGGCAACCGGAGACCCAAGATCCACATATCTCGTCGTTGCAAGACCGAAGCCACTCTTCTAGATGCACATAACCAGATCACCACCGAAGTACTGGATAGCATCAGACTCCTGTACAAGAGTAACCAGAAATCGAAACCTCCACTGAGGCACTGGACTTTCAAGACACAATCCTCGTAGATCCTTCTGTCGAGATGGGGAATTGGGGATAGGATCAAAGGGACTTATTCCGGACGACGATGCCACCGCCTCACCCTCACTGCTCCAACACTCTAACCAAGATAAAGTAGGACCTAATCTACACCAACGGACGGAGAAACACCGATCACCTACACATTTGAGGCCAAAACAGCCATCGGAGGCGGAGAGTACCGGTGTTCTTGCTAGCGGGAGCACACATGCCTTGGCCCGCTCCCTTTTCGCTTCTCTCGATTATTCAAGGAGGCTTCTACTAAAAAACAAGTTGTACTATTATCTTGCAACTCTTTTATAATACCTTGTATTATTTTTATTCCTCCGTTGCTAAGGAACCTAAGCTGGTAATAAACTCCATACAACATAACTGTTGGTTACTGACTTTTTTTTATAACCACACATGTGTTTGGCATGCCTAGCCATAACTAGTAGCATTAAGAAGTTTTTGCCTGTTCTGAGTTATGGTAAAGTTAAGATCTAGTACAATCACTTTCATACACCTAATCAAAACTCTCGATATGAAAACTAAATTAGTGGTACCACCTAGCTACGTGTGTAGCGTAAACATTTGGCCCTAAATGTAGTCACACGTCTGAATGTATGCATTTGCTGCTTGTGTCTGGTAGTTATTTGGCCGCAGGAAGTAGCAGAGCAGATCATGCTCCTTTGTCCTCTTTGACAGGGCATGATAATTATCTCCAACGGAAGATGTCCACCTATAAAGGCAACACAAAGCCTACAAAAAACAAGAGTTGCCTTCTCACTTAGCTACACAAATTGGAAAGTCCTCGTAGACATCGATCTTTCAATATATATGCAAAATACACAGCTAGGCATGCAAGGCATCAGGAGGACAAATGTTGGCTGAGCTTAATATCGACTGTAATGGACTACGGAGCTATACGTCTACTGAATACTTTTTCTCAACGTGGCATTGGCCAAGCCTTGCAGAGAGGAAGCAATGCAGTGGGACTTAGCAGGATCCCGTCGCTTGAGGTCGTTGTTTCAGCTTTGTGTTTGAGCTCTAGTTTCTTTCTTCGCTTGTTTCTTTGGCTTCGGCTTTTCGGCAGTAAATGCCTTTTGCTGCTGGTTCTTGTTTCGCTTATGTAGCACCATCTTGTGACTCTACTTCCTCTTAATGAAAAACGTGCCTCATGGCATTGGTCAAGCCTTAAAGGCAATATAAGATCCTTCTTTTCTTTTGTTTCTTTTTTTTTTGCGTGGAGATAAGGATATTTTTTAAAGTACTTGGGGGCCACCCTGTTTCTCTAATCATTTAGCCTGTTCGCTGGTTGGTTTCTGGGCTGATAAGACCGGCTGGTACTGGTTTGTTGTAAGAGAAAAACACCGTTGGCTGGCTGATAAGCCCTGGCTGAAACCAACGAGCGAACATGATGATTAATGGAAACACAAGCAAAGGTGGATAAATTGCACTTGTCAAATGTCATGGTCTCATGGCATGACTTTGTTGGATAATAAGGAATGCATGAATTAATGTCAATACACACTTGTGCTGTACTTAAATAAATAAAAAAGACAAAGCAGCACAATGCTCTGTCCTTTCTTTTTTTCTTGGAAATCACAGTGTAAACATAAACACTTACAAACATGTAAGCACACTCACCATATTCTTCCAGCATTTATTTTGTACTCTTGAAAGTTCCCGCTGAATGATCGTGTTGGACATTGGTGTCATTTTGGAAATTAAAGAACCTTAGTAGTGCAACAAATTCTGCTTCCATATGGTTGTGCATTTCGGTGTAAGTTTTTGTAACGAACCAGGCAATAAGCAAATAATTTGCAAATAAAGTTGTATATATTGAATTAAAAAAAATGTGTCATGTCTTCTTTTTCGAACTTCATGTTTACTTCTCTCTGTTGTCAAGCTTCACCTTACTGTTCTATTGACATCTTTTATTCTAATTTGATTCTTCTTGAGCACACGACAGCACCAAAAAGTCAGTTCTTACGCACTTGATTCTTGCATAGTGGCCAGCCACAATGATACACTGAATCAGTTGTGTGCAAGCCGTAGCGCCCAATTAATAGTGTGAATAGTTATGCAAGAATACTAGATGAAATGGACGCTCTTGATGTATCCACCTGCACTTGCGTCCTTCTTCTAATGAATTATGCTCGGCGCTAGCAACCGCATTCTATGTCTCAACCATACCCAGGCCTGGGCTGGGCATTAGCTATGATCTGATTATATTGATGCAGTTGAAAGCGATGATCATTTTCCTACTAAAAAACAACATAACGGTGTACTCCTCATCCTGAAGAAGTGACAGACGTATTTTGGCAATCTCCAGGCATTCTAAACATATGATATATATGGTACTATGGTAATATATGGGAGTCAAATATCTTCCAGATCTGTGGGGTGACAGAATTTTTTTCTGTTTTTCATCATACCCAAATTAGCCTACTGCCTATAACTAACATTTTAGATAGTCCACTAAATATTAGTGAAGCCATTCCACCAAATACTAGTGTGTAGGGGGATTGAGGAGTTGTTGTAGCGGCAACTGCTTTACGCTGCAACAAACGAGCTGAAAGAAAGAGAGTGAGAGTGTCTTTGGTTCCCATCCTAGGAAATACGCTTGAGCCTGGCCATGTTCGCTTTGCTGAAAAGCCATGGCTGAAAGCATTGTTCGCTGATTTGTTGTGAGAGAAAAACACTGTTCGTTCACTGAAATAGTACGGCTCATAAGACAAGCGAACATAACCCACGCCTAGTGTCAGATGCGGCTACTTGGCAGAGGTCCCAAGACAAGGGTTCCAACCAAATATCCCCCGAGTCTCTAGAATTTTTCACACACTGATTCCCTAAAAAATCATGCTCACTTTCTAATGGAAAAAGATTCCAGCCTCTACATCCGCATACAGCCAATGAGTCCTGTGGGTACTATGGTAATACGGGAGTCAAATATTTTTGCAGATCTGCTGGTAGACAGGAAATAGTTCTGTTTGTTTACAATACCCAAATTAGCCTACTTGATCATAACTAACATCGTAGATAGACTAAATATTAGTGAAGCCGTGAGCTGGGTATCATCACAGAAGGAGTTCACATATGGATCTCCCTTCAGAAATTTGTTCTGTTTTGACCACACCCAAATTAACCTACTTGACCATAACTAACGATCTAACATGTTAGACATGCTACTAAATAGGAGTATTAACAAAGTCGTGAGCTGGGTATCATCACAGATGGAGTTCACATATGGATCTCCTTCCAAGGAGAGACCATCAACACACATATCAGTGCACAAAACAGGAACTGCAGGGCGTCCACTCTGCTCCAGCAGTCCAGCTCTTTCTGATTGCACCAGATATAGCTCTATATATATGCTCCTGCCTAGCGAATGAGATGCACTTTCATCCTGAGACACCTCGAGGCCTTCTCCAGCTCTGAACAGACAGATATCTCCCAGCACGAGACGATTGTCGCGGACGAATTCAGCCCAGCCACGGGAAATCATTCGCACACCACGAGAGGTACTGTCACCACCCTGAACGCTCAGCAAGGTGTGCCACTGCTTGCCCCGGCAACCCTCCAGCTGAAGAGTCAGATCTTGGGTTGCTGATGGAAGACATCTTCTAGAATATTCCTTGGTAAATCTCTGTTTATACAGTGATGAAGAATAAGTGTCAGATGACAACAGAACAATTCAGAAATGCACATACAAAAACCAAATTCAGTAAAGTGATGCATTAACCTAACACAAATCAACCAAAACCATTTCCAACCATTGGTCTGTACTACCAAATAACTAATCTACTGCAGAAATGTACAATCTCCACCATCTATTCAAAGTTTTGCATAATTGAGTTGGTATTGGTACCTTACACTTTTTAGATGGATTAGACATATAAGGTGTATCCAAGGCCTGTTAGGATCTAGGTTCAGGCAATGCCAGACTTATATAATGAGACTCATGGCGCCCTCAAGGGAAAGCCATTCTTTACATGAGTTCCAAAAATGCAGAGGTCTTCATTGTTAGTACCACTCCAAG